TTTTTTTTTTTTTTTTGTTCCAATGGGATTATTTTTTCCCCCTCTCATTGTCTTTTCATGTATAAACACTTTTTATTGCTATCAACCTTAGCAATAACTTCAACCTTGCCAGTATCACTGGCATGCTGTATATTTAATTAAAGCATATGTTTCCCCTATCATATCCTTAAAATGATGATTAAAGCCATCATTTAAATGTTTGTGACTCTTCTTAAAGCCAAAGTTTCTGTTGAAGTATATGTATTGACACGACCCCTAAATTAATGGTTATGTAAGCATGCAATCTTTTGGGGACTCAAAAACAGGTTTTTGAGTTTGAATAGCAATTAATAAGATAGTGCTATTGAAGCTATTAATAATTGAAGTTAATAACATTTCATACAATTTCCATATAGTCTATTCACTAAGTAATCTTTTTACAGTTGCATCAGGCCTGAACCCGTCCATTCTGAAAGCTTCAAATTATAGAAACAATACTGTTCCATACGCGTGACCGATTATGCTTTCTTTGGCCTACATTCTTTATTCTGTGGTGAAGTTGAGGCTTATAAGTCAAAACAAAGGAAATAACTTACTATCCACCAGTTTATACCAAAACTCACAGTATCTATGACTTCTTTAAACTAAAAAAAATGCAGCAGGTTACATATAGACTGACTCTTTCTCAATGATGTTGATGCACCATTGAGTGAGAAAACATCCTTAACTACCACAAAAGAGTATCTAAAGATGATTTTTGCTTAGTTATTCTCATACTGAATACATACTATGTAGCAACAGTGATGTCCAAAACATGTGTTATCATTGAAAGAAAACTCCTTGGCATTTACACAATCCTTTTCCATTTGATTTATAGTGAAAGTTCTAAGATTTACAGGAATAGGTCTTATCAAACCCATTTTGCAGATAAGAAGACTCTCATTCTTAATTCTTTGATCTCTGATGTTACAGGAATGAGGCAGATGGACTACATGAAGTTCTGAAAAAGCTTAGCACAGACATGGTAACAGAAGAAAAAGAAAGACTTCAAGAAGAAATAGGCAAGTTTGTGAAGGAGTTTCCTGGGATGAAATCAGAGCTTGAGGAGTGCATAAGAAAGCTTCATGTCCTTGCAAAACATGTTGGCAAGGTACACAAGGACTGCACCATCTCCAACATAGTGGTGGAATCAACTAACATCGTCTCTGGTGTCCTGTTCTTCCTTGGTCTGTTTCTGGCACCTGTGTCAGCAGGGTTTAGTATGGGACTCTCAGCAGCTGGGATAGGGCTGGGAGCAGTGGCCAATGTCACTGGTATTACCACTACCATTGTGGACGAGTCAAGCAAGTTGTCTGCAAAATATGAAGCCAAACAGCTGCTGTCATCTGGCCTCAGCACACTGGAGACCGTGGAGGCTTTGTGTAAGAAAATACCCAGAGCTCTTTCTGTCACAAAGAAGTATGTGAAGAGCTGGGACGTCATTGCAAAGCACATACATGCCATCAAAGTAGCCAGAATCAACCCGCTCCTAGTAGATCAAGCCAGACATCACACCACCACTGGAAACATATCAATCCAGAGTAAGAAGCAGGTGCAGGAAACTTTTAAAGGCACTGCTTTGGCAATGACCAAAGGAGCCCGGCTCATGGGCATGGCCACCACAGGCGTCTCCATTCTGAGTGGTGTGATCAGCCTTGTGACAGAGTCAAAGCACTTGTGGGAGGGAGCAAATGAGGAGTTAGCTAACACACTGAAGCAGCTGGCTGATGAGTTGGAGAAGCAGTTAGAGAAACTCACCCAGAAACATCAGAGTCTGCAGTCAGAAATGACTCCGTGACCCTCCCTGAGCAGTGCCAGGAGTGGGGGTGGGGAGCTGTCACTAGTGTGGAACATTTTATTTGAGGGGAGAAAAGAGACAGGTCAAGTTTATGGAGGTGATAGTAAGGAGTTTAGCATTTCTGTAGCTGAGTACAGCAAAGGAGACATTCATGCATATGGCAAGTGGGTTCAAGACAAAGCAAGAAATTGATCAATGGAGACTGCATACACTCCCAAAACTATTGCTCCGAGATAATCCTTAAACCTCAAGCCAAAAATAACCCCTGAAGTCTTCATAAAACCAAATAGTAGTTTAGCTTAACTAGTAAAGGTTGTCTGCCTTGAGTATTAAAAAATTGGCTGAATAGAATTAATCAAATAGTCAACAGCAACTCGAAGAACTAGACAGGAACAAACTTATGTCAATGAAGGAGCAACAGGTCACCCAATGAGGGAGAGAATTGTTGCACTGCTTGAAGAATGGAATAAATATCACTGAATTGTACATGTAAAGACTGTTGAACTGGCATATGTCTTGCTGTGTATATCGTCAATAACAACAATAATGAAAAATCTTAACTAAAAATCAAAGAGATAAGAAAGCTGAAGCCTGGAATAAGAGAGGAGAGGAGACTAGAGAGTGCCGGGAGGCAGCCCTGGCAAACTAATTTCAAGGCTTTTCTTCCAAAGGAGGGTGCGGATGTCGGCGAAAAGAATTACACGGAGTCAATAAGTCATGATGAATTCAAAATCTTCTTATTACATGCTTTATTCTTCTCTCATTCTTTACTGTCCTGCTCATTCTTTACTCCCCTGCTCTCCTGCTCATCTCTTCTGCTTCTTTTCTCCCTTCCCCTGCTCCTGCTTTCATTCCCCACAAAAACATCACTTATCAGGGAAACTGAGGCTATGAAAAACAACTTCTCTATTTTACTGATCATTAATTTAAGAACGTCTAAGTCAGACTTTTTATTTAGTATCTGTATATACCCACAGCCTTTATCTATAGTCTAATTGTTTTTAGAAATTCTTGTACCCACCGCCCTTATTTATAGCCTAGTTGCTTTTGGGGATTCTTTATTGCCTTAAACTAAGGCTACAAGGAAGAATGTTTATAATCACTAAGCCTAAGCTGGTGGTAATTCAATTGACAAATCCTGTCTCCTAGCAGTCTCAAGAACATTGTTAATATAAGTATTAAAACTACCTATGATTACAAGTAGAATAAAATGTAACTAGTATATGGCTTCTAACTTTTAATAAAAATATACTAAAGTGTAGGAGAGTCAAAATCCAAAGTAAAGGGATACTAATAAAATCATGACTAAATTGGAGAATGATTCAACAAAAGAAAATTTAACTAGGAGTCTATGCATAAAAATAATTATTTGTGGCTTTGCCATCCAAAGAAAAATAATTCATTGTTGCTCTGCAAAAACAATGAATTCTTCTATGCCCAGGTTTCCACATGTCTCATTTCTTTATTTTAATTTCTCAATTAATATGTCTCGATTTATTCATTTTAATTCCTTATTAATAAAATTCCATATTATTATTATGGCCCCTGCCAAGAGAGTGTGACCAATAGGAAGAAACAGTTCATTTTGGACTGAAGAAGACAATGGGAGCCTAAGTGGAGAGGGAGACATGCAGAAAAAAGCAATGAGAAAATTAAAAGTTGGAAATTGGAGAAAGCCAGAGTTAGAATTGTTGGAATATTGGAAAAGTAGCAGAGGTTATTCCTGGTGTCATCCTGATGTAGTGCTATAGAATAAGCACTGGACTGCAAGATCCATTTGAACCACAAGGTTGGCAGTTCAAACTCACCAGCCACTCCTTGGAAACCCTATACAGGGTCTCTATGAGTCAGAATCTACTCAACTGCACTTAACAACAACAATGACAACAGCTCATTAGTAACCCTCCTCTTGGTTGGATATCTCAGCAAGAGTGAAGACCTTCCCCAGGAAACATCAAGACAAGTGCAAACTCCCTTCCAAGACTAAGACTCAATGGGAATACACGCTGTGACTAGTGACCGCGCTCAACACCGATAAGAGGAAGTGAGGGAAAAACAGCAATGAAGCTGTGAGCTAAGCCCTACAACGTTCAATAGACTTCTGTGAACCTGGTGAAGACCTGGTTGGCCAGCAGTGTGGCAAGACCTGGGGACAATTGGGCCCAGAGTCAGTGACATAGCCACGGAGGACTAGAGCGGAGAGTGAAGTGCACAGCTGATAAGAGAGGGCATATGCATAAGAACACCCACACTTGCAGATAATACCCACTTGTCCTGGCTTCAGTGACTGGATGATCAGAGCTCAACCAGAAGTAAAAAGAAGAAGAAGAAGAAAAAGTATTCTCATACAATTTGATGAACTTGACCTACACCTATGGAAGCAGTAGCTCAAAAGAGGGAACAAGTCCTAACAGCAAGAATCATTCCCACCCCTGCCACACATAGAGTAGACAGGGATGGGCAACTTGGACATTGGCTACCCAAAATGGGGGGTGGGAGGCTACAAAGGCAAAAAGTGACTGGCTTACAAGCTTTCAAGAGAGAACCTAGATCCAGAGGGCCTGGAGGAAGGTAGAATCTCCAGTGTGTAGTATTCAGTCTGACTAGCTGGGGCTGATGCAATGAAATGCAGACGGGTCTCTTGTGATACAATAGTGAATAATTGTTATCAGGACTGATTGTGAGGGTTGGAAATGTAAAGGTAGATGTTTTATAGCAAGGAGGGGAGTGATTAGCTTTTCAGTCTAGGAGCAGAGGTCCCTAGGACCATCAAGGGAGAAGAGCAGAGAGCGGGACCCTACCCAGAGAAGCAGTGATGCCTGAAATGGAGCCAGAGATGATGACGTGGAGCAATGGAGCAGCTGGAGACTTTAGATCCAGAGAGGGAGAGCGACTGTGTGCTGAAGACCTGGGGGGCACTGGGGAAGGATTGCATGGAGGGGATTGTAACCATGGCAATGAATGAAAACAATAGAATGAATGTAAAACCAATGTTCTTCCATGTAAGCTATCACATAATTCACAATAAAACTTAAAAAAAAAAAAAAAGAGTGAAGACCTTCCCAGGTGGTGGTCTCTAGCCCTGCCTTCCTGGTATCAACTCACCCTTGTCTTTCAGTGGGTGTCTCTCAGTCAGACAGTGACTTTTTGATTGTCACAGTGATGATGATGGTGATAGTGGTGGTGGTGACAACAAAGTGAGTAGAGCAAAGGCAGGTGACTAGCCCTCTTTGGGACCAGAGTGTACTGAAGGACCAATGACGTTCCAAAGAAACTCCAAATGTTATGTCGGATCAGTTGTTGATGTTGTTAAGTGCCTTTGAGTCCGTTCTGACTCATAGCAATCATGTAGAGGGTTTCTGAGGCTTTAAATCGTTGGGAAGCAGAAAGCTTCACCTTTGTTTAGTGGAATGGCTGGCAGGTTCAAACTTCAAACCTTGAGTTCCCAATCCAGTGCTTATCATATGGAGCTACCACACTCCCCATTGGAACAGTAGTTGATTTTTTAAATTCATTTAATGAAACTAGATGCCAGGAACCTTGTGGTAAATCACTGAGATCAACAAGCTTGGAGTCAAGATATGCAATCTTTCTGAGCCTCAATTTTCTCATCATTTGGGATGGGGAGGGTGGCAGAAAATTCTTTATCAGATCCATTTGAGTCTCCCCATCTCCCCAAGAGGGCTTTTAAAAGTTCACGGGAAAATCCCATTGTCATTTAATTCCATTTTTTCACAAACTTTTTGAAGACTCCTTGTGTAGACTTTGGTTCATCAAATATTGACAGAAACCTAGCGCTCGTTGTGTTGTCTCACTCAAGTTATAGATGTTTGACTCCCTTCCCCAGAGCCTGTATTCCAGGGTCTCAAAGAACAAGTCCCTGATGTTCCTCCATTTCACTCCCTGAGCTTCCTTTCTCCCCTTCCCCTATTTCCCTCAGACCCCAGGACAGAGAATGTCCCACTGGGGGAGTCTCGAGAAGCTTGTGTGTGTGCCTTGGGTTGAGCATAGCTTTGCTTTTGGTTTAGTAGACTGGACCCAGGATTGACAAGTAATTAGGAATCTGAAAGACCTGTGTCCGGGTATGTTGTTGCTGTTAGGTG